CCATATTTTCTTTATTGGATTATGTATCAATTATTTCATCATCTTTTCGCAATCTTCCGTAATGCAGGATGAAACTGGAATTTAAAAAAATTTTCTTCAGTAGACTGCTTACCAAGCTGGGTTAAAGCTTTCTGTTTATACTACTATCTGTGTTGGGCCAACCTATGCCCCCGTATTTACTTGCACAATCGAGCTCAACAGAATGACTTTTGCTGGGGAGCAGGCCAAAACCAAAAAGAAAGCTCAGAAAAGTGCTGCAATGGCTACCCGATTTCCTGAAAAATTGTATGTATAGTATCGAACTACTCCCAGTTTCATTCTTTATGGAAAACGTGGCAAAAAATTCCAAATGCGGCACAGTTCACCTTGAGATTTTGTCAAAAAATGGAAATCTACAATAACAAAATCAATTTTCTTTAGCTGGCTTTGACCTTTATACATCTATTCATCCGGATCACTCTCTCAAGAATAGGAAGAAACAATAGTGTGATGGCCCGAATCATTGACTATTCGAGAGTTACTAAATAAAACTTAATTTTTTCATAAGAACTAAAATAAGAATATGAAATAAATTTTTTATTTTTCTTCAATAAGTAAATAAATTTTGGTTTTATCATGTAGCTGCGAAAAATGAAAGAAAGAAAACTATTCCAACATAACAATTAAATTTGAAATTCAAAATTGTGTTTTAAACACAACACAATTTATTAATCCTAGTCTCATTGTCATCTTAACATTGACTGTCTCGAACCATCAGTTGCCTGAAATGGGGAATTATTATAAAGTGAGATTTATAAAATCTCAATAAGTACGTCATAAATTAATATTGTGTATAGCTTAAAAGAGCATAATAATCATAATCAGCATAATTGAGACATAAGATTTTTACCGAACATAGTAGGTAAGAATTCTTATGTGTAGCATTACTAAACTCTTGTCTCCTTAACATAATCATAATCATATCATAGCATATATGACCCATAATAATTTTCTTGAAATTCATAACATAACAATAATTTAACATAAGTAGCGTACTTCTTGTTCTCTCTACAATTTCCACCTCGGCTTATGAATGTGTATGTGTATATTATTTGGAACAAAAATTATAATAGTTAGTGGTAGCATGTGAATGAGGGGTTTAAATAGGACAAGATTAGGCATGCATCTTTAAGGAAAAATTCATAATGGTGGAAATTGTTACTAGAAATTTGTGAAATGAGCAAAAATCTCTCCATCATTCCTACATTTATGCATTCACACTACACATTACCTTATGTTTGGTCAATCAAGCATAAATCAAGAATTTGACCTTATGTTTGGTCAATCAAACATAAATCAAGAATTTTATTTTATGTTTGGTCAATCAAGCATAAATCAAGAATTTTCTATATAAGTATTTGACCAAGAATTTAATCAAAATATGTGGGAATTAGCACTTATGGTAAGTTTGCTACAAGGTCCTAGAAGGTAGATTAACCCTCAAATGAGCCCCTAAATTTTCAATTTTGATAATTAGACTCGGAGATTCGAATATGGGTATTATAATCTACCTCGCTAAAAATAAATTTCATCCTCGAAATTTACCTTGAAATTCGTCGAAGAGTTGTGGGTACTTTGCCTGCATCTCCACCTCTCGCTCCCACGTGGCCTCTTCAGCCAAGTGATTTCGCCATTGTACTTTCATTAGTGGGATCACTTTGTTCTGGAGGGCTTGAAATTTCTGATTAACAACTCTTATTGGTACTTCTTCATAGCTTAAACCTCTCTGTAATTCAATAGACTGATGGTTGACCACATGACTTGGATCGGGGACGTACTTTCTAAGCATTGATACATGGAAGACGTCATGTATAGCTGAAAGTTGGCGAGGTAATGCTAATTGATATGCGACATTCCCAATACGTTGCAAGATCTCAAACGGGCCAATAAACCTTGGTCCCAACTTACCCTTCTTGCCAAAATGTAGCACTCCTTTCATCGGTGCCACTTTGAGGAATACCTTATCACTAACTAAAAATTCCAGACTCTTTCTCTTTCTATCAGCGTAGCTTTTTTGTCTATCCTGAGCACTTTTCATACTGGAGCGAATCTTTTCAATTGCATGCACCATCTGCTCAATGATTTCTGGCCCCAAAATCTTCCGCTCATCGACTTCATCCCAATGAACTGGTGATCTACACTTTCTCCCATACAATGCCTCTTATGGTGCCATGCCAATTGAAGTGTGGTAGCTATTGTTGTATGAGAATTTAACTAAAGGTAAATGCTTCTCCCATTGTCCCCCAAACTCGAGGATACATGTTCAAAGCATGTCCTCCAATGTTTGAATTGTCCGCTCAGACTGCCCATCCGTCTGAGGATGGAATGCCGTACTAGACTTTAGTTTATTTCCTATAGCTTAGTGTAGACTTTTCCAAAAGTTCGATGTAAACCTTGGGTTTCTATCCGATATAATAGAAACAGGCACACCATGTAACCTTACTATCTCATTCACATATAACTGCGCAAAGTGGTCCATAGTAAACGTCATCTGAATTAGTAAGAAATAAGCTGATTTGGTAAGTCGATCCACTATGACCCAAATAGCATTGTGACCTCTTGTTCACCTTGGAAAACCAATCACGAAGTCCATAGTCACATGCTTCTACTTCCACTCTAGGACCTTCAATGGTTCAAGTAACCCTGACAGTCGCTGGTGTTTAGCCTTCACTTGTTGACACACCAAACATTTCTGGACATACTCAACTATATCTCTCTTCATAACTTCTCACCAAAATATTGCCTTCAAATCCTTGTACATCTTTGTGCTTTCTAGGTGCACTGAATAAGGAGAGGAGTGAGACTCCTCTAGAATCTCTCTTTTCAATTCTTTGAAACTCGATACACGCATCCGCCCTTGATAATATAATGCTTCATCTTCAGCTATGGTAAAATCCTTTCACTTTTTTAAGTTAATCTCAAACTTGATGTACTCAAAGGACCGATCACCTTTTTGACATCCTTTAATTCTGTCACAGAGTGTGGGTCGGATAGAGAGAGTTGTTACTCAAGCGACCACACCTAGTTGAGTGGTGACAACTTCAAGATTCAATCTCTCAAATTCTCTCCATAGTGATTCTTGCGTAGTCAACATAGCTAAGTGACCTGCCATTTTTCGACTCAAGGAATCAACTACCACATTCGCCTTACCTAGGTGATAATGTATTTCATAATCGTAATCCTTAACTAACTCAAGCCACCTTCTCTATTTCATATTCAATTCCTTCTCGGTAAAGATGTACTTAAGGCTTTTGTGGTCCGTATAAATGTCACATTTATATCCATACAGATAATGCTCCAAATTTTTAATGCATGAGTCACCACGGCAAGTTCTAGGTTGTGCGTAGAGTAGCTTTGTTCATGTAGTTTAATTGTCTCGATGCATAGGCAATCACTTTGCCATGCTTCATTAAGACACATCCCAAACCTTGTTTCGAAACATCACTATAGATTACAAAACCATCTGACCCGTTGGGTATGGTTAACATTGAGGCGTTTACTAGCTTTTGTTTTAATTCCTTAAAGCTCTGTTCATACTTCTCTGACCAGTTAAATTTCATACCCTTGTATGTTAATTGTGTCAACGGTCATGATATTTTGGAGAATCCTTCAATAAACCTCTGATAGTATCCTGCTAAGCCCAAGAAACTGCGAATTTCTCCTACATTGGTTGATCATGACCAATTCAACACTGCATCCACTTTACTAGGGTCCACCTTTTATCCCTCGAACTGTGATAATGTGTCCAAGGAATATTACCCGCTCCAGCCAAAACTCACACTTTTTGAACTTAGCATAGAGCTTCTCCTTCTTCAAAACCTCTAACACAATCCTTAAATGCTCTTCATGTTCCTCATTACTCCTTGAGTAGATCAAGATATCATCGATGAACAAGATGACAAACTAATCCAGATACTTGTGAAAAATGCGGTTCATCAAATCTATAAAGACTTCAGGAGCATTAGTTAGTCCAAATGGCATAACTAAGAACTCGTAGTGTCCGTACCGAGTTCTAAAAGCGGTCTTAGAGATATCACTAGCTTTGATTCTCAATTGATGATAACCAGATCTTATATCAATTTTGGAAAATACCATTGCACCTTTAAGCTAATCAAACAAATCCTCAATTCTGGGAAGAGGATACTTATTCTTAATAGTGATTCTATTCAATTCTCTGTAATCGATGCACATCCTCATCGATCCATCCTTCTTTTTAACAAATAGCACCGATGCCCCCATCCATGGAGATACACTAGGCCAGATGAAACCTCTGTCCAATAGTTCCTCCAGCTATGCCTTCAATTCTTGTAATTCTTTGGGTGCCATTCTATACGGGGCTTTAGAGATGGGTGTTGAGCCGAGAGTAAGGTCAATTGTGAATTCTACCTCTCGTTCCGACGGCATGCCCGACAACTCCTCGGGGAAGACTTTTGGATATTCATATACCATCCTAACCTCGTCAACTGCTAATATATTGTACTCTTCCTTACTTATTATTGATATCAGGAATCCCATAGTGATATCTAATGGTACAACCTGTAGGGCTTTCAATGCAGATAAGGTGCGGGGTAAGGTTCCACCTCCAGCCATAGATAATCAAAATCTTTTTTCCCCCGGTCTTGAAAAATAACCTCTTTTTCAAAACAACGAATAATTTCGTGATTTCTGGATAGCCAATCCATTCCAAGAATCACATCGAACTCGTCCATATCTAATACATACAATTCCATCTCCAATGATTTACCATCAATTTCTACTCTTGTTGTTCTAACTATGTGATTGATATTCACTATATTCCCAGTGAGCATCGTTACTACTAAAGGGAATTGTGCATATTTAACCATAACATCTAGTTTACATAGAAACTTAAGGGCTATAAAGGAGTGAGTTACACCAGAATCTATCAATACATAGGCTAGTAAGTCAGATATGAGGACTTTACCTGCCAAGACATTTCAATTCTAATCCTTCTCCTGCCCTGATAGTGTATAAACCCTAGTCTGTCCTCCTAGTGCATGACCTTGTCTATGTTGGTTGTTCCCTTGTGGTCTCTGCTGGTTGCTCCCATATTTAGGGCAATACTGAGCCATGTGTCCTTGTCTTCCACACGGAAAATATAAATTTGTCCACGAAAGGTAAGCTCCCTGATGATGCTTCTGATATTTTCCACAGTGTAGGTAACTCTTGTTGCCATCTTGCACTGAATTTCCTTTGCTCTTTTTGGCATAATCTTGTTTCCCTTTTTCCTTGTTATCCACCCACTTTCGCTTCTCTAACTGTCCATTAAGCTGCTTTTCCTCCCCATAGTACGATTCTTGAAATCTGCCAATTGTGCCCTTGCCAACACATCATGATAGTTTTCAAGCTAAAGCACTATGACAGTCCGTTTCAAATCATCTCTCAGTCCTTGCTCAAAACATCTTGCCTTCTTGTCCTCTATATCTACAAACTCAGGAGCATAATGAGCCAACTCTTCAAACTTCTGCTCGTACTCGATCAACGTCATTGAGCCCTGAGTCAAAGTGAGAAACTGAGCCTCCTTTCGATTTCGAATACTTGTGGGGTAGTACTTTTTCAGAAAGGCCTCCTTGAATTCATCCCACATCCAAACATGACCAGGAGCCCTTGATTTGGCAACGGTGTCCCACCAACGCCTAGCACCTCTACGTAGTATAAAGGTAGCACATATCACCCTTCTAGGTCTCGGGCAGTCGATGAGTTCAAAAATTCTTTCCATGCCCACCAGCCAATCCTCTGCTTCCAAGGGGTCCGTGCTATCATGAAAGATAGAGGGATGCTATTTTCTGAATTGCTCAACCACAATAGCAGTGGTCCTAGTGTCGGGGGCAACTTCGTGCTGTTATTCTGGTTGGGATGGCGGAAAAGATGATGGTGTTGGTTGTTGAGGAAGTGGTGGTGGCGGTATTGCAGTTTTCACAAAAGTTTGCACCATAGCAAGAAACTGTGGGTCAATCATATTAGACTGTGGTTCAACAGGTTGCGTGGACTCTTGATTTTAGGCATTGTTATTGATAGTCCTTCTGTTTCGGGGTGCCATAGCCTTAATTAAATGATAGTAATTATTTAGAGTTAAGTGAAATTGAGGATATGAAACATAAAGAAATGGCATGCTTTTATTCATAAATATTCATAAGTTCACATAAATAACGAACCACCGAGCATAATCAATGTCCAAACAATCGAAATTCAAAAATTGAAAAAGGAAAAGTCAACTAGGCATCATCTAATAGTTCTTTCCAGTATCCTCCCTTTCTTTTTCCTTGGGATTTGGTTTCGAATCAATCTCGAAATACGACACGGGGTTGTATTCTTCAGTCGGGTCTTCTTCAACATAATTTTCCTCATAGTCAACTTCCGGTATTGTTATGACATTGCCCGGATTAGGTTCATATCTTGGCATCTTATTGGTATCTCTAACGTCTTCACGATTCACCTTCCACCTTTCCCTCATGCATTGAAGTAGTAAATCGGGAGAGGTCTGGTAGTCGAAGGTCTCTTCGATTTCCTTGATAAATTGCCTCCAATAAGGAGTAAGGTTTGATCAAGGTGATATACGATTTCATCCCTATGAAATTGATATCCATTCGCTTTTGCCCCTCAGGAAATCCTTTCCATGACATCTAAATGTTGTATCAAACCGTGGTTCGGGTTTCTCTTGTAATTCCTATACAACCAAGTAAAATGATTGCGCCTCTCAGTTCGACTGGTTTGACCTTGTCCACTCACCATCTATCAGAAAGAAATGAATGTAATTACTTTTCTTTCCAAAAGAACTTTTTCAATTTTTTTTATACACATAGGTAGTGATAAAAGAATCGGTTATTATACCAGAGTTGGAACTTTTAAGGGAATGTATCAATAATTATCCACAGTTTTTCCCTTATTTTTTTTTTACAAAGGTAGTGATAAAGGGATGAATTATTGTACCAAGAGTTGAATTTTATTTTTTTAAAGAAAATGTATTAATAACCATCCACAGTTTTTCCTTGTTTTTACAAAGGTAGTGATAAAGGGATGAATTATCGTACGTGGATTTATTATTAATCTTATTCATATAATATGTGATTCTATGTTATCGTAAACTAAACCTCTAGTTGAATCATTTCCATTAAACTTAACATGCATTTAAAATCACATAGCTACCATCTATGTATTTCATGGTGTCTACATTAGTATAAAATCTAAGATTGAGGTCTTCTATTAATAGCATAATAGTAAACACTTATAACATACAAAATTTAACATTTTTATTGACTTTTATGCATAACAAGTCTAAATAAATTGCAACTATATTCTTATTTTGTCATGATATTTATGATTGCTATTTTACGTAATAAGCATGCTTTCATAAGTGAGATGACATGAATATTTAAAGTGCATACATACCTGGTTCAAGGAAGTCGAGACATGGAAGATGGTATAGTGGCTAGTGACTTAGAACAACTTAAAATTTCATTTTAAATATCAACTTGTTTTCAAAAAAATTCATCTTAATCATTGGATCCAAACTGATTCTTGTACTAAAGTTTTTAGATAGTATTAGTTTTTATAATAAAGTCCAACTAAATAAATCAATTCTAAAATACATTCTTATCAAAAATTATATATATATATATATATATATATATGTGTGTGTGTGTGTGTGTGTGTGTGTGTGTGTGTGTGTGTGTGTGTTAAATCTATAGGGCCGATTTGAAAACTCTTAGCCCTAATACCAACTGTGACGGCCCAAATCCTTGACTATTCGAGAGTTACTAAATAAAACTTAATTTTTTCATAAGAACTAAAATAAGAACATGAAATAATTTTTTTATTTTTCTTCAATAAGTAATAAATTTTGGTTTTATCATATAGCTACAAAAATGAAAGAAAGAAAATAAGTCCAACATAACAATTAACATAACAGTTAAATTTGAAATTCAAAGTTGTTTTTTAAATACAACACAAATTATTAATCCTAGCCTCATTGTCATCTCTACGTTGAGTGTCTCGAATCATCAATTGCCTGAAATGGCGAATTATCATAGAGTGAGATTTATAAAATCTCAATAAGTACGCCATGAATTAGTATTGTATATAACTTAAAAAAGTATAATAATCATAAACAACATAATGGAGGTACAAGATTTTTACCGAACATGGGTGGTAAGAATTCTTATGTGTAGCGCTACTAAACTCCGGTCTCCTTAACATAATCATAATCATATCATAGCATACAGGACCCATAATAATTGTCTTGAAATTCATAACATAATAATAATTCAACATAAGTAGCGTACTTATAGGGAAATTTGAATGAAAGAATAATAGAGACTTGATATCTCTACAATTTCCACCTCGGCTTATGAATGTATATGTTTATATTATTTGGACCAAAAATTATAATAGTGAGTGGTAGCATGTGAATGTGAATGAGGGGTTTAAATGGGACATGATTAGGCATGCATCTTTAAGGAAAATTTCATGATAGTGGAAATTGTTCCTTCAAATTTGTGAAATGAGCAAGAATCTCTCCATCATTCCTATATTTATGCATTCACAATACACATTACCTTATGTTTGGTCAATCAAGCATAAATCAAGAATTTTCTATGTAAGTGTTTGACCAAAAATTTAATCAAAAACATGTGAGAATTGGCACTTATGGTAAGTTTGCTACAAGGTCCTAGAAGGTGGATTAACCCTCAAATGAGCCCCTAGATTTTCAATTTTGATAATTAGACCCGAAAATTCGGATACGGGTATTATAAATAGAGCAAATCTGTAATAGAATATTCCACCACGAGCTGTCAAAGCACAGTCGTCAATCATCGACCGTCAGCTCCTACCCTCAAAATCATGTGATCTGTACTCGTTTCCCTACCCACTCCAGCTATCTTAGTCATCCATTATCTGCTCCTTAACTATCTTCTAGGTGTCCTTTTTTTTTTTAACGGGCTTATGTGTGCCCAGAACTGCCCTCAGCCAATCTTCACTAGACAGATTCATCTCTGTTTAGAGTAGCGATGCTAACTCTCTTGATTGGTGTGATAAGATGCTCAAGACGCTCACTTTTCTTTAGCTTGCTCATTCAGTATCCTTTGTTCAACCATAAGATTCAGAACCAATCAGGAGTCACCTCATCCAAAGTGGATTAAGTTTTCATGCAACTTTCTAAGACCATAAGCATTTATACTTTTAATAATTGGATTTTATTGAGTGTTCCTCGTGTCATATGCAACTTTGCTAATTATTTCATCTTTTTTTTCCCTCTCTCGCTCTCCCTCTCTCTTATTTCTTACGAGACTCATTTAATAAAAATGAATTAATTATACTCAATTCTCATGCATCTGCGCAACAAGAATCTTGCTCTTTTGAATCAGGCCTCGGAGTAAAGGATGAACGAGAACAAGTAACTGTTGCTCATTATCTTGCTCGTTTAAAATTACCTAAGACGAGAAAATCAGCACAGAAAGAGAGGTGCCAAGTAAAGCAAGAATATTCGCCTGTTAGGAGGTACATGGCTCAATATAACATCGGCTTATCGTTCTATGAAATGCAACAGCATACATTCATGTAGCTTGTTACGCCCCTATCTGAACCACCTCGGAACGCCCACCACCATATATTCCGACCTGATAAAGACCTGTGCAAAGTGTTTTCGAAATGATATCACCAATGACCACAACCTAGTAGCACGCTGCGAAGTACAGGCGACCCCTACTACTAACCTGACCGAAGCACCTCGCCCACGAGGTCGAGGCCAAGTGGACCCCTGTTAGAAGACCCGCCGCTAATTTCAGAAAGAGATTTGTGCCAAGATCCTCCCTGCACCAAAGGTTTAAATTGATTTGACGTCTCCATGAGGCTAGTTGATGTGACTTATCAACTTTATGTCAATTCAATTCAGAAGAAACAAGCTGTCCACCCACTCTACAGACGCGGCTGGTTGACGCCTATGAACGAACGCCTCATACCGTCAGATGTATACACATGTCCCACATCCAACGGCTCACCCCACCTATAAATACCCAAGGTTTGGCAAGAGGCAAAGGTAATGAAAACTCTTACTACATAGCACTCCATAGCAAGCTTATATATTTTCTCCTCCCCCTTATCATTGTTTTGCACAACCCCTGGGTACTGTTCTGACCACCTAAACCTGACTTGACCGTCGGAGTGTATACGACTGTCGCCACCCCCGTCGGTACCGACCGTGTGCGTCTGACCGTTCGCTGATTGTGCGCAGGGAGAAATACGTGGAGTAGCTCTCAGTTGGCCACGTGGAAGGTCCAATTTTCGAGGTCAACAGCTGACCGTTCGCTGATTGTGCACAGGGAGGAATACGTGGAGTAGCTCTCAGTTGGCCACGTGGAAGGTCCAATTTTCAAGGTCAACAGATTGGCGCCGTCTGTGGGAACACTTCCCGCTTGAAGTTCTGCATTCTCCATCGGAGAAGATACCGAAAAACTAGCGACTAACCCTAAAAAGGGGACGTTCTTGAGAAAGAACAAAGTCGAGTTACAATCTAAGTTCTGACCACCCTTGAAAAAGGAGCTAGGATGAGCTATAGCCATGAAGACGACAGAGGCCTCTGAAGAAGAGGTACTCCAGAACAATGTTACTCATCAGAGACCACATCACCGGCGACGTCGAGGTAGAAGAACAGCCATACCCACTGAAGAAATGGCTCAAATAGCTGCGGGTATGAGAGACATCGCAGCTCAAAATATGGCA